TTCTATACATAATAACTTTTGTCAGTTAAGAAAAGGAGAGGTTACTTTCTCAGGCTGGTCTACCAGAAGCCAAAGAATCTTGAAAAATCTCCAAATACGCTGGGGATAGTTGACGACACATAAAAGCAGTCATTTACTGCCAAAGGGGAAAGATTTCATTGACTTTGGTTTCGCACGTCTCTGCACCTATTAGAATACAATGCTTTTATTGCGTTTGGTAATGCATTTAGTGATCCGAAGCAAAATGAAGTGAATGGAAGGGGTCCCAAAGGTTTCAGTGAGCTTTGAATGGGAATTTTTTTCTGCACAGATTGCTCCCTGGGGAAGGAACATGCATTCATCAAGCACTGTGCATTAAAATAACACAATAAGAATGCTATGCAACTGTGCAAAGCACAGTTGCTACCACTTACTTGACTTAAAGTGTCCTCAAATGTTTTGCTTTATGGCATTAGAAGTAATTCAATTTCTTGGACTGTTGATGTTAAGATTTGGATTATATAAGTGTTTTAAGAAGAAAGCAATCTGAAAAATACCCAATTACTAACACAGGAGAGAACTCATTATTCTTTCAAATGTCTCTTTTGAAAATGCTTTAAAACTTTTGATTTTGTTGATTCAACAAAAGGGAAGCTGTTTAAAAATAAATAGAAGAGCAAGAGAATGGTCACTCAATGCTCTGAAGAAAAGAACTGTTTTCTAACACATCTCAGTAACCCTGTGCTATTGTACCTTGACATCCTTCCCTTTATTCCCTTATACACAGCTGGGACCATAAAACATGTAAAGTATATTCTATATCTCTGTGTCCATTATGATACCCAGACGTTCCTTAGTCCATATTTTAAAGGAATACATACTGCCATTTTTGTGCCGTGCATCTGATACTTCCAGAAGGCATTGGATCTATGCATGTGCTGAGTATTGCATGGATGTACAGTAGGTTACGTCACATCCTTGATTTGTCTGCCATACAATTTCCCTGGATAGATGAAATCCAGCAAACCCTAGGTGCAAGTGAGCTCCCTGGTTCACGCACAGGACTCGCATAGAAAGCTCAGGGTTTCCTGGGGGTTTCATTGTGGATGTGTGGTCACACTGATCACCCAGCTGTCAACCAGGCTTTCTGCTCAGCTGGCCAATCAGCAAGAGCTACTGGTGTAGCTGGGTGCACAAACATTTATCCAGCCAAAGTTTCTAAGTGGAAAATGATGACACAGCCAGAGGAATTTGGACATAGTGTATCAGATGTGGGTAAGACTTATATACATGAACATGTGGGAAGGGGAGCTGATCACAGGAACCCTGCTGATTTGGATCACCATTCCCCAGCATCCCAGCAATGGATTAGCCAAACTGGAGGTAGCGTACTAAACCCCAGCTTTCTGGCTGAGTTCCTTACCACCCCCTAACACAGCCAGTAAGGGTAACTCTGGTTGCAGGACCCCTCACTACTCTTCTGCAACAAACACAAAATAATATCATCACTATAAAAGAGGCTGACACGATGGTGAATATTTCTCTGCAGATACTTCTTATACAGAAAATTATTATCTCATGTCCGTGAAGGAAGCAGGACACAGTACTGCTCAAACAGGCACTGCAGGTCTCCCTTCCTAGAACAGAAGCTTTGTTGGGATGTAAACTTTCTCATAGTTTATGCTTAACTTCTGTAAGAAATTAACTTTGTAGACGAATAAGGAAAAAGGTATATTGATTTCTTTATTACTATGTTGCTGATATTAGAATTCAACCCTATATTCTCAGCCAGAATTTCAAAATACTCCAAAGATAACAATTCCACAGAAATACTACAAAATTTATGAAAGAAACATAATTATAATTCATTTGGAAGAGGCTTTCTAGATGTTTCTCTTATGTGCAGAAAACATAAGCCTCAGCTGGAATTAATTTCTTTTCTTTTCTTTTCCTTTCTTTTATTTTTTCTTTTCAGCAGTCTCAATCTTATCTTTAATTTTCAACAACTGAATGCATAATGTCTGTGTTGCTGTGACCTGTCATTATGAAATCTGTATATCAAAATGAATATTAGTTATTAATATGGAAAAGAGCAGTTTTAAGCAAACATGCAATCTTATACCAGGGCTGAGAACAATGTGTGTGTAACTACTTCTAAACAGCAACACTTTCACCGTTTAGATAGTAACTTGGAAATGGACAAAAAAACTAACCAGGAATCTTATCATAATTCTTCTTTGCCTTTTTTTAGGTAAAGGAATTTTTCCCTTTAAAGTTGATGAGTTCTGATTCTTTGTTATTTTTTTGTGGTAAAGCTGTACTAAAATAAAGAAGAATGCGAAGAAACTCTTGGCATGAGGCAGCGGGTAAATTAAAGCTAAAGTTGAGCTGTATGCGTGTTAATAAGAATAAGACAAAAAGAAGGTTGGGGAAAAGATATAACTCTTGTATTCAAATCTAGGCTGCTTTTACAGAGCAAAATTGCATCTGTTTTTTTTTTAGTACTCTCGCAAAAATAACTCTTCTGTCATGTCTTATTCTGTTAGATATCTATGCTTAGAGCAATTTTTAAATGGATGTTTTATTGACAGCCTGACTTCCTGTGTTTTGGCAATATGTAGACAGGACTTAAAAAAACATTACTTTTAAAGAGCCATTTTGGGACTTCAGATTTAACACTGATTTGATTCAATTCTTTTCGTATTGTTATTTCTAAATGTATTTCAGCTGGACAGATTTTATTAAGAAATACAATTTTGGTATTAAGTAACAGATGAGGTTTTAAAATAGCTACACATCTGCAACTGCAACAGCCACAGCAAGAAAAGCTTGCTTCTTTGTGCAAGGAATCAGACGCTGGTGATATGAGACCTGTATGGTGACACATGGTTATACAGCTACATATGCACACAAAGCCTGTTTTGAAGCACTTTTGTTTTGGTCAGTCCCGTTTCTTTAGGCACCTGAGTCATCCGAGGTGGGAGTCGGCTGGCAGAGATACTAGCATTTCCTTAGAACCACGTTTTTAAGTCAACTGGCACACCTTCAACAGCCCCCAAAAGGATTAACTCACTTATATAGAGACGAAAGTACAGCTCAGCTGAAATATACAGTGCAATCGCAACAACTGGATGTAGCCTGACTGAAATAAGTGTGCTAGGCTCTCTGGTGAGGTACTTTTCCTTACTGCCTATCTTCTGCCAAAGGAATACAGCAGAAAAGGAGAAGATGGAGAAAGGCCAGAACATTGTCGTTCTCTGACAGCTGCTGAGGTAAATGTATTTAATCCTGAGGCTGGAGAAGACCCTCTCTGATAATCAAATAGCCACAGTCAACATATCCTGTACCTTCCCATTTCTTCCAGTACAGTAGAAACCCAGAAAATTATTCAGCAAATACTTTTCTACGCAAACAAGGCAGAATACAGAAGGAAGAAACATTTCAGCTGGATCAAAGGCCTATGATGAAAAGTCTTTCTAAAGTTTAGCATTTTGGGCATGCTAATACTGCAGAGTTAATTGGCAGGGTATGTTTGCCCAGTTGGAAATGTGGGTGGAAATCTCCACTACAATGATTGTACCATCTCTAATTCTCAAGCCAGTTAGTATGGAAGAAACTTGGAATATATGACATGGAGTCATGTTGTACCATCTAGACAGTCTTCAGTGACTTCAAACTTGCTATCTACAGATTCTAAATGCTCCTTGCCAAGATTATCTCTTTGTTGACTTTCTTTTCAGAATTTTCTCTTGGTAATACTGACTGAATTGTCTAAACAACGTTTAAGAAATTAGCCATTTGAAATTCTGAGTTAATATATGAAAGGCTTTCAGTTTGCATGGAAAATTATACATATCTCCAAGTGAACAAGTGAAGCTGAACCAACTGTTGTAGTCAACAGATTTTTAAGTGATACTTTCTCATTACCAACAGAAGAGTAACACAATCTGTGCAGTTTTTGAAGTTGTCCTATATATGCTCCACTTGAACAAATTACAGTATTTGGAATGAGACTAAATGTGATACTGAGGGTAAAGTAGAACAAAATACAACATGCATCTTGGAACAGTTCGTGATCTATACAAACACTTAAAATTTGCGCTTTTCATTGCTGTTATGATCCCAATCCCTGTAATGCTGGACTGCTGTAAAGAGAGCTCTTCACAAACTATAGTTCATGACTCCTTAGACTGTTGTAAACTGACCTACCTCTGAGCTTTCTTCCAGAAAATTGTACAAAACCTGAGCACGCACATGAAATTCTGCTGGGAATGCTATCAGCAGAAGCATTCAGGCTATGCCTATGCTGAAAAGAGCTGTCAGCCTGACTAAACAAAGAACCCAGTCTGTAATCTGTAAGCACATCTACAGCATCTGGCCTGGATTAAAAAGACCACAAAATTTGACTGAGAGGATATTTTTGTGCGTAGACAGGGTGAAGGTCTGCAGACAACAGTTGAATGAGAGTATGGACAAATTCTGCCGTGAGGCAAAGACATCAGCAGTTCTTCACTGAAAAGATTCTCCAGAGAAACATTCTAGGTGTATACATGTTACATATATGTATTTTATACATATATATATGCACATTTTAGTGTATATTTATATATCCAGTGGACTAAGAGCCATATCTAGAAACACCAATATTTGAGAGTCTAACAGTCCAGAAAAGACCAGAGTTTATAAAGTTCCCAATTAGATAGAATGTCCAATTTTCATGAAAGTGTTTCCAGAAATCCAGTCAGGTACCTAAATACTTCAGAACATCTGGCTTCTAAATGCTGAAAACTAAGTGTCAAAATCAGTAGAAAGTCATTAAGAATCCGTACTGTTGAATCCTCCAGCCATCCCGCAAACCAGCAGAAACCTGCCTTAATCCAAATGCAAGAGTATTGCAACACTTTAACATCACACTGCTACTGCTTTCTCATCTATCCTTATCAGATGCATATTTACACAGATCTTTCAGAAACTTCAAAAAGCAGTACAAATATTTCTTGTTAATAACAAATCAGTGGTACAAAACGATTTCCTTACTTTTGGGAGGGAAGCTCTCGATCCTGAGCTTTGCGTGGTCATTGTCAGAACTGTAGTGATACCCAGTGCAACTCTAGCTGGAGCAGCATCCATGTTGATCCAGAAAGAAACCCAGGACAAAATGACAATCAGCAGGCTAGGAATGTACATCTGGATTAAATAGTATCCCATCTGACGCTCCAAATGAAACTTGACTTCAATGCATGTAAACTTTCCTAGAACATGAAATTACTTTCATAAATGCTTTTTGCACATTTTTAGCCTGTTTTCTGAACATAAGTTAGATGTGTGGCCTGTTTCACCTAACACTGTAAACAGGTCCTGGTACACAAATGCAAGTTAGCCATTTGTTGCACACTGGTTTGAGGGACACACAGGACCCCTGAAGCAGGCTGTGCACAGTTCTTCATGTTATCTGAGAAAACAAATATTAGCACAGTTGTTTCACCTCCAGAAAATCTAATGTAATGCTTCTTTTCTCAAAATTTAATGAGATTTTACTTTAGTCAAATATAATGTTTAGTATTAAAAGGGGACAGCATTTTGCTCTTTTAATGATGTAAAATTAAGGAAATGTACTTAAACTGTAAACTACTAATCTCATAATCCCATGGTAGATCACACCCCTTCTCATTCTGGCCATGTCGTTTACCTGTGTCTGTGGATTATGTCTCGCAGTAGAATCAACTCAAAGCTTACTTTGAATTTTGCCAAAAGTCTAATTCCAGGAAACCCACAACAATCTCTTGTGGGAGGTGAGTGATTCTTCAAACAACAGATAGCTGCTCCACAGGGGTAGCAGAGGACAGAAGTTTAGGATTGCCTGATGGCACAGCTAGTCATGCAGTGGGGGATGCAGAGTCCTGAGTTGCAACAACTCATCAGATACTAATCCACTCACTCTGTGCTGCTTTCCGAATTACTGTGGTTTAGGTACTGTGAAGGCTCTCGCTCAAGGCAGACTAACCCGAGTACAAAAAAGTCAGTTGTTCCTGAAGTGTCATGCTAATAGTTTCAAAGGTCCAGTTTTGTGCTGGTTGGTCAAATTCATGAAGCTGCATTGTTCCTTGTTTGTCCTTTCAGGGGAAATTAAATTTTTTGCACCTTTTTTGTGATGTACGCATATTTTTCTGCTAGTCTAGAAAGCTGAACAGCAGGGTGCAAGAGTTGTCACAAAGGACAATGCAGAGATTGTTTGACAAAGAGAGGAGGGAAGAAGTACTGAAAAATACCTTTTGACAAGGTGGAAACTCTAAAATGAATGACCAGACCTGTGACCCTAAAGGCAGATGCTGAGACCTGGGTAGCGACTGATCCTGACCAGCCTGTCCATACTGACCAGTCTGTCCATACAGAAGGGGACTTGAAAGGGGTGGGGTGGCCACGTGTGGCAGCAATGGAATGAGACTAGCCCAGTTTGTTGAATGCTCCACAGATTCCTGTGGCACAACCTGGACAGTGTGGGTAGGAGAAGGCTGAATAATACAGCTTTTATCCACATTTTAATTTCACACCAAACCTGAGGAAACATACTAGAGAGAACACAGTAAAGTGGGTGCCTGCAGGCAAAGTTTTCTTTTGCCCAAATTCCGCTTTTCCGTTCCCCTTGCCAGGCTACACGCTTTTAACTTTTGCTAACTATGCATTTATTTTGTTTAACTACACGTAATGGGAGCTACTACTTGGCATTTTTATCCTTTGTGGGGAATTGCCCGGGGTATACAAGGAAACTGTTGCACGTGCTCTCCCTTCTCTCTTACTTTCAGTGTTTGACCCTGCAAACTTGTTATCTGACAGTAATTAGAAAAGCAAATTAATCCAGTTATTTAAAGTTTGAGTCGTGTGGTGGGAAACGGCTAAGTTTTGTGTCAGCCAAATTACAAATGGGTAAGCTCTGTCTATTGGAAGTTACTCTCAATTATCCCCTTTAAGCATGAGAAAAGACGAGAAGTCACAGCAGTCCCCCTTTCCACAGCACTTGGACTGTGGAATCACAAAGTTTTCCTTCCTTGGCACTTGGGGCCCCAAAATGAGAAGCTGCATTTATAAAAATTAAAAACAGTAATTTTCTCCTCATAACAAATGAATGCAATTAATTTTGGCAGAGGCAGAACCTCTCACATTGTGTTATTTCACAGAGCGAAACAAATGTATTTGATGCAACAAGATTGGCTCTTACGCTGAAACGATGAAAAAGCCATTTTAGATGAGAAGAAGGATTATATCTAATCCCAGCAAGCACCCAGCAAACTGTTCTCTAAATGCTGTCCCTATTGAATAAACTCCAAGCAGCTGAATCAAAATTTTAACAGAGTTCTCTCTGCTCTGTAAAGCTAAAGATAGAAAACAGAGCATTTGAAACTTCAAAATAGCAAATACAAGAAAAAACCTTGGCGTATTAAACAAACATTTAATTTCACAACATTTCATGTCTGTACGCTATTCAGATCAGCAACGAAAGCATTGTCCTTTCAAACACTACATGACATAAATTAGACCACACAAAAACTGGTGAAAATTTGCTATTTTTCCTATTTTTCCTCACTGGCAATTTTATATGTTGGAGAAATAAATCAAGTTCAGAAAAATCAATACTTTAAAAGTGATGAATCAATATTCTCAATATTCAAGAAAATATTCCGTTTGTTCAAAAACTTTTATTTTAAGGAAATCAAAACAATTTCTTTAATGAAATTGAAAGAAATTTGCAAATTAAATATTTCAAACAAAAAGGGAGAAAATTTCTTTTTTTCTTCAGATTTAAAAATAAGTGTGGCTGATTCAGACTTTAATTTCTTTTTCTTTTTAGTTTTACCCATCATTTCCCTTTACAAATTGACAATAGATACCATTAGAGCAATTAATAGAAAAAAAAAAAAAAGAGTAACGCTCACCAGTATTGTAATGTTTTGTGCAATAACCGAGTTCTTTATCTTCTTTCAAAAGAAACTGTGGCAAGGTCAAACCCTCTGCAACTTGCACAGGTCCATCACTTAGCCATTCAAATATCAGATCATTCATAGTGTAGCCAACTACAATAAAGAAATCAGAGTTTGTTAGATGGTAGCCAACAAGAAAACATCAAAACCAAATATTGTTATGCCTGAAAAGCATGTCTTTTATTGCAATACATGTTATCTCTGTTGTATTTTTAAACTGTCTGATTAACAACAGAATTATTGTTGTTACTTACCAGTTACTATTTCTGCACTATTACTCTTATCAAAAACAGCAAGTAACACTGTTGTATTCTGAAATACTGCCTTAGTTTGCCACTAAAAAATAATTTTTCTGGCCCATCAAAGATACTGCTTACAACTGAACCATCATTTCTCTGTGCCTATGCGTCAGCCTGTATTTTGCATTTTTTTCGTCATTTTTGGTGATGGAGTCGGCATGCACGAACAAAACAAGGATTTCTAGACTGCAGAATGCTGGTCCCTTACTGAAAAGAAAACCGCAGCTTTTGTAAACCTGTGAACATACCAGTGAGAGGAGTGGAGGGGAAAGAGATGTTTTAAGGTACAGTGACGGACAGTTAAAGCACTGTACCTTCATGATTTTCCCTTACAAAATTGAAATATTGAGTCTCACCACATAATTACAACAATGTAGCTACTCTCTAACCACTGAATGTTATGGTAAAAACTTTTTCTGTGATAGATAAAGCAATTGGACACTCACAGCTCTCTAGCTGCATTGTACATGTCTGTACATCCATAGGAAAATTCTTCAAGTCCATGGGACAGGATAAGGTTAAAGTAAGCCTAAAATTGAAGGGAAAAAAAAAAAAAAAAAAAGACGCTATTGTTAGAAATCTACAGGTTTTATCCAAAGCCCTATATTAAGAGCTTAAAGGATCAAGACCAAATCTTAACACCTCAGAGGCTGGGCTCCCTCTCCCCTCTGAGCTTTTAAGGACATAAGAGCCATGAAGACAGAGTATGTAAGCAAACTGGGCGCTCACTGGCTGCATTGGCTGAGTGTAACAGAGACAGAGGAGAAACGTCAGGATAGTAAAGAATGCTCTCCGCTAATGTACCAGTGAAAGGTTTATGTATAATACTGAACCCAAACAATGCAAAAGCTGAAATAACTTATCATGGGACACAGATTTTTAACCTTTGTTTTGGAAAAGCAAAGAAAGGAGAAAACAACCATGGGTTTTTTTCAAGAGAGTGCTTTTCTTGTGTGAGGTGCATTTCAAACCCTGCATTCTTGCCACTTAGCCATTAAAAGAAAGAAAAAAACATCATACAGTAAAAGCTAGAATCACACAGCATTAAAAGATAAAGCATGCAGATAGAAGAAAGTAAGCCTAAAGGAACATTATCATACAAAGTAAATTTCTCTTTTTAATTTTTCAGTTGTTATTGTCCCAGATAAAGCATAATTTAACTTCGATAAGAATGTTCTTAATGTTTCTTTCTTCTTTTTTTTTTTTTTAGTTCATTTTACTATTTCACGTTTGATTGAAATCTGTTTCAAGACTTCTCCTCTGCTTTATTTATTTTCATTTTTGTGGGGGGAGAAGAAACAATTTTTAACAAACTGAGATACAGAGATGACATAATTACAAACAACTAGCTGCTTTGAAAAACAGAAGGGTTGTTAAGATTTTGGGTTAAATTTTATAAAAAGAAAACATTTTTATTTCAGACTACCTTAAGCATAGAAAACATTTTGACATAAAGAAAGCACATAAATAAAAATCTCTGCACCCATTTACCATCAAGGATGAGAACTGATTTTTCTGATTTGAAGGTACACCGAAACATTAACACAGTACAATGAGAATAATTTTTTGATTATGACAATGGACCCATGGGCCAGCTGCTAACCTTGAAAACACGTTGTCCCACTGACAAGTGTGATCTCTATGGAGAAATACTTCACTAAGCTGTGTCTCCTGTGGTAATTTTGTGCTTCTCACCACATACAGCTGATTCACACTCTCTCAGTCTGTTTCTTCACCACATGAATTTTTGGGGATGGTCTGACTGGGCCTTCTACCCTACTGTCCTGCAATCCAATCACTATGACAAGAAAATTATATTTAGGTAGCTGAGATCAAAATGGTCTCAGCCTGATCAAAAATCATGTTCAACATCACTGCTTTTGTCTACTTGTGGGCTACCTAGAGAAAGTCACATCATTTTCGTCTTGACACAATCTTCAGTGTGGAAGATGGTTGTATCAGGAAATTGGAGATCAGTTGCCTGTGGCCGCAAAGTGCACTGAGATGAAGAAAAGCCCCCAGTAGTCTTCTCAACACCACCACAGTAAATAAACTTCCATTTAACCTTTGGGAGCAAATAGCCTAAGCATTAAAAAAAAATTCATCATCTAGAGAAAAAAAGTATATCTAGTAGTCATATAAATGGCATTGAAAATCCAGCCTTTACTCATTTAAATATTTTAAGCGCCCTGCAAATGTTAACTAGTCTCAGTTTTACAAGGTAATTTCCTGCATTAAAGACCGAGCTAATTAAACTGCTAATCCTCAGTATTAACAAAAGACTGCTTCTACATTTTTTCTGAAATGTTGCTATATCAAACCCTCTTCCTTCTTTTCAGTCACCTTCTGTATATGGCTTAGATGTTTTAAGTTCATTTCAAACACGTCTTTGTGCAAATACAGCCTTTCTAAATATGTCATTTTTTTTTTTATTCATTGAAGTAGACATGACTTATCCACTCCTCAGATTTTACTGACTGTCAGGTGTGGACTGCACACTGAGTTTGTTTCCTTCCCCCTTCATCCCTTTCTACTCTCCCAAAACCTCAAAGGATCTGGCAGTTTGACTACATACATGGGCATGTGGGTCTTTTGTTAGTCTAATATCAAACTCATGAGAAAGTGAATATATCCAGTCTCAGCTTTCAAGCCTTACGGGGAAAAATTGATCTGTCTCCACTAATAATAGGTAGTTATATCAATTTATTTTTTTTCTGGAGATGTGCTGAGAAAATACTCATTAAATAAGTTCACACAAAGGTTAACAACTTTTCTTTCTTTTCCTAACCGAAGGTGTCATTTAGGAAGACTAAATTACTCTCTGCTTACCCTGACAAATGGAAAATAATTTCTATTCACTGTATTGACAAGGCTAGGTCAAGAAACCATGCCCTTATAGCTTTACCCCTACTTGTTGTTCATCTTGACAGAGTAGCCATTCATAGTTAACATCTTGGACTCCATAATCCCTTTTACTAAGAGTAATGCAAGTGTTGAACCCAATGCTTGTTGCCTGGAATCTTCCACGGATTCACTGATTTTCAACAAGATTAGTATGTGGTAAGTGCTCAGTTGCTGCAGTCTGAAGTAGCTCCACTGAAGACCATGGTGGTGGGTCAATATACAGCAGCTGACTCTTTTTCAGTAAAAATATGATCCTGCAAGTGTTTCCAAACCCAGGTGCCATGTCACTACTTGCATGTTTACATTAAGAAGGAAAAAGGATCAGAAATGGGAAGTGTTAGACAGATATAGCTACCCACATTGACTATAACAGTGTCATTGACAGAAAGTGTTTCAGAAAAATTAACTTGTCTTACACTTGGCAAATTCAAGAACGTTCCCTGGAGCTCTAGTGAAAAGTGCAAGTTTAACTGGCAATTACATTGATGAACAATTTAATAGTTCATAAAACAGAACAAATTACTATAGAACAATTATTTTATTTTTCAGGCACCCTGCCATCAAGGCGTTTGAAATGCATAAACAAGAGCTTTGGTGGTGCAGCACCATAAAACACCGATGGGAAGTGTTTTATGAACATTCTGTAAAGCTGAACAGAGAAGCAGTTGACCAAGGACTTGGATTTGTCTTCAGTTACCTGAGCACCCTTTCCCCCCTTCTAGCCAGGCTCAGGTCACATTTCTCTCTCAGGGAGAGCTCTGGGGTTGGGCATGTTATATTTTCCAGCTGAGCAGACAGGGGTCATGTGGGAGCACAAGAGTCACATCTCCAGCGCCCCAGCACTTCAGGCACAATGCCAGGGCCAGCAAGCCGGCCCGGAGGAGAGGTAAAGTTGCTCTTTTCTTTCCCTCCCTACTCCCTCACCCATTCCGCAGTCAAGGAAGAATCAAGCCCTAAAATAGCACAAATAGCGTATGAATAGAAAAACTGCAGAATCAGAGCCAGAAAACAAAGAATGAACAATTAGCCGGCACTGTGACAAAAAATAATAAAAAAAATAAATCAATAATATTACTGAGCAATGCTGTGGCAGAAACAGGGCTGTAATACAAGCACTCCAGTGCAGCATTGCCTGCCGTAAACTTTGGACCCTCTTCCTGAGGATTCCCTCACACACTAGGTAAGTCCTTCTGAACAGCATCTGCTGATACTTTAAATGCCTTCAAAGCGCAGCAGGCACTGCCCAGATTTCTTCACTCAGCATTTCATTCAAACCTCCCTCTTTCATCCCCTGGTTTCACTAGAACGTCCTGAGAAATCACTCAGGCTGTGGGTCTGTCTCTCTTCTCACCCCAGTTCAACAACTTTCATTTCTGGTCACCCCAGAAACCCCCTTACAGGATCATTCAGAGGTCTGTGTTTCCCATTTCTGCAGGCAGGAAGGCAAAAGTCCTTCAGGCTGCAGTCTCCTTTATCATAGAAGCCAAAACCAAGCTCTTTGACATCTAACCCCCAAAGCAACACCATCAGTGGAGGGTAAGTTCCTTTAATAAAAAAAAAAAAATCAATAGTAGTTAAATGTTTGTAAACAGATTATTCTCAAGATGATCTCCAATCCTATTCCTTCTCTTAGGGATTTTGAATGCTGATGCTCATCACCATCATACCAATTCTCTGATAATCTTACAACACTACGAAAATGCTTCAGAGTACTACATCGCTCGCGGATGGTCTGCAACACAAAACTGAAGAACTGCTAGTATCATATTAAACTCTTAAGGAACTGAGTCTACACATTACATAAGCCAATAATATTTTTTATATATTTAAGAGATTATCTAATTTTAACTGTGATTTGACATATTGCCGTATCTGCAGCAACCCTTAAATCGTATTCTAACCCACTTCTTTACAAGCAGCTATCATTCCTTAGCCTGTTGTGTTGCAGCTTACCCGAAACTTCCCTTGATCTCAGCGATAACTATCATCCTGGAGGAGGACGCTGATCCCACAAGAGAGAGGCCCTGTGGATCACAATATGAGGTATCTGATGACAGGGAAATATCATTTTCATTAATTATCTTGCAAGAGTGGAGGTTTGTGAGCAGGCTACAGAAAAACAGTCTCCTCGTAGAGATTTTTCTGATAATAAATAACTAGGGTCAGTCTTATTACGTATAGAAATACTGTTGGGAATGTAAATAGTCCTGGAGATAAGGGTACAAGTCCCTTCCATCTCCAGAAAAAAGGCATGATTATCTCCTCACAAGCACGAAAAGCAACAAACGCCTCACCATGAGTGGGCATGGTATCAAAAATAAGATTTTGTTCCTATTCTTATCCCTTCGTTCTTTCATGCTACACCCATCTGCACCTCAGCTGTTGGGATAGGAGACTTCACAATCTAGGATTTTGCACTGCAAATACTAGAACACAAGTAGTACATACATGGTCACTGCTAACATTGGCTATGTGCCATTTTCATAAAAAGTCTTATAGCTGTGCAAAGCCCACAGTGCTAGGTCTAGTAAGACAAGCAGGATTTTTTTTCAGGATTGCCAATTCCAAAGATGCTATCATAAATTGTAAGACTTCTGGTATTTTTCTTAAAGCTCCAAGCTGACA